GTGCGCCTTTGTGTGTTTCTTAATTTGAATGGTAATTCATGAACATAGTACAGAATTCAAAGGCACCAAAGGGTGTTTGGTGTAAGCAGAGTCTCTCTCCCCACTGACAGATCTCTTACCAGAGGCCTCCACCCCATGATTAGCTTCCTGTGAAAGGAAGGACACCCTTAAATCCGTGGATCTGCCCTTCAGGGAGTTGGTTCAAATGGGCAGCAGAAGGTTGCCCCAGGGGAGAGCGAGTCTGTAAAACTGGTGGCATCAAGTGACTTGGGGAGGCAACCAGAGAGGCAGTTCTCAGTGGGGTTCTGCCTCCCGCTGGGTGCCCGTGTGGGTGGGTCATTGTCTGCCGTGTCATCCCTGGGCTGCTTCTCTCCTCCCTTAGTGTGAACCCCAAGAGGCAGCCTCCGGTTTCTTATAAGCCTTTTGCGATTAAGGCTGGGAGCGCCCATCCCTTCTCGTGAATATGGAAGAGACGGGTTCCTTAATCCGTGTACAGACAGGGTCAGGACACTGAGGAAAAACAGGGATCAGCATCAGAGACCTTCCTCCCGACCCGCCACCTCACCCGCCTGCCTTTTTGTTCCCTTCGCTTTCATGTCTCTTCCCCACCCCCAGCTGCACACTAAACACGTACAATGAGCGGTGCCTGCGCTTCCCATGGATTTATGATTTATGGTTATTCAGCTTATTACCTAAGTGGTTTTGCCAGGTAAAATATTAAGGCACCACTGCCATTATAACCTTGTCTTCCATGATCTCATTGGCAGCTGGTGTTGCCATGACAACTGGGCTGGAGGAACTGGTACTGAATTTCAGTGGAAGAGATGCAAACGTGTGTGTGTGTGTGTGTGCACGCAGACTTCCCATCATGTGTATCTGTTGTGCAGAAAGCCATGGATTTCTCAATCCTCACCTTCTGCTTCTCCTTCTAGTTTGGTCAAAATTAGCTTCAGGGCTCTAAATCAATTAGAAGCAAGCTTTAGAGGATGATTTCTTCGTGTGGCTTTTGAGTAGCAAATTGGAACCAGGGACACAGAAGAAATATCTTGGAGGCTGTCTACCTACATGAGATGGAGCAGCTATACCCACTGGATGTCGCTCTCCTAAAAGCACCTTGGGCCTAACTTATTTAACATCTTTGTGTAATTCTCTTATTAGTCATAGAAAGTCAGAGCTGGAAGGGGCCCCAGATGTCATCTATCTAATTTTCTTTTCATTTAGATGAGAAAATTGAGGCCCAGAGAGGCTAGGTGACTTGCCCCCATACAGTACGGTCCAGTGAGAGGCTGTTGGCTCTGGAATCCAACTGCCTGGCTCGAGTCCTGGCTCCAATGTGTATTTACTGTGACCTCAGCCAAGTGGCTTACCCTCTAAGTCTCAGTTTGTTCATCTGTAAAATGGAGATAATAGTGAGAACAACTTTACTAGGTCATTGTAAGGGTTAAGTGAGATAATCCACAATATTTGGACATATTAAACCCTCAATAAATTTTATCACTGTTACCTAGGGTAACACTGAAAATCAGTGACAAAACAGAACTAAAATCCAGCTCAGCTAACTCCCACTTAAACTGGACCCTTTTCCCATTAATCCCGTCCTGTCCTTTGTTTCTTTTTGGTGTGTATGTTGCTTGTCATCCAGGGGAGACTGGAGTTCCCTTTTGAGATGAGGGTTGTCTTTTCTTAAAACCTCCTATGAAGTGTGTACAATGCAGTCCCTAGTGGATACTTGTTGATTTGAGGATAAACATTACATGCTTCATGCACTCATGGAACGGGGATGGAATGTACACGGCATGGGTGTAGCGTAGGAGGGAAAGAATGAGAAGAAAACTTGAGGGAAGTGAACGTTTTTTGATCACCTCGAATGAAACCAGGCAGTTTGCTCAGCTCTTTACAGATGCCTTTAATCATCACAACAACCCCATGAAGTGAGCACATTCATTCCCGTTCTACCAACAAGAAAACTAAGAACGGAGTAGGCCTGCAGCATCCGGGGCTTTACACGGCAGGTTGAGAGAGCTGGGTTTCCACCCACCCTTTTACTGCAAGGCGCTGCTGATGTCCTCAATACACTATGTGGTTCAAAAGAATTTCTTACCCCCTCTGTGAGCCAAAAGCACATTTCCTGAGGTGGTGAGAGAGATTCAGAGCAGACTGATACCTTTTCCATCACTGACACAGAGTGTACAAAGCACAGTTGTGTAACTCTGGGGGTCCAAAATGTTCTCCTTGTCTAACCTGACTGGCATTGAAAGTCACACCAGGCTGGGTGGCTTTACAGAATGCCACTTGTTTAAACTTCCTTTCATCACTCTGTCAAAAATAAGAGCAATGCCGTGGAACCTCACAGTCCTGTTCAGAGGAGCAAGCTGTTCTGGGGAAATTTGTTTCAAAAGGTATTCTGCATTAAATACACGCCCACTTGGGAGGGGGCAGTGATCCTATATCGTCTATCCTAGGTAATGAGGCCATTAAACCAGCTGGTCTCTGCGCATCTTATGTAAGGGTGTCTCAGTCTCTGGGTGAGTTGGGTAAACCAGTACAGAATTTAACGGAGAGAGGTTTCCTAACTGGGACTTAGAGATGGAGGTCAGATGTGGACAGGGGTGCCCAATTCCTACATATGGGGCCCAGAAGGGGCTGGATGACTTGTCTAGGATGTAGGCTGACACAGCCACTATGCTTTTTTTTTTTTTTTTTTTTTTTTTTTTTTTTTTTTTTTTTTTTTTTTTTTTTTTTTTTTTTTTTTTTTTTTTTTTTTTTTTTTTTTTTTTTTTTTTTTTTTTTTTAAACTAGCACAGTATGTTTATTTGGCCTTGGGGGATCAGGGACGCTGATGAAGATTTGGAGGAGATGAAGGGCCCCTGGCACTGCAAGACGCTGCAGAACTAGTGGCACAGGTCTGTACTTTGGAGACAGACTTACCTCTCCGGAGGGAGAGAGACCCAGCCCTGCCTCTCCACAATTGTGTCACTGTGTGCATGTTACTGACCTGACTTATTGCACCTGCTGAAGAGGCCATGTCCCTCCGCCGAGATACTGGGGGCATTTCGTGAAATAAGGTAGGTGGGAACTTAGAAAATGCTAGTTTTTCAGTAACCCCTATGATAAACCCATCAGATGAAGACATCTTTTTAGTATCAGTAAGCCTCATCGCTTTTATTCCACACAATTTTCTGGGTCATCAGATTCTAGGAGGTGCGCTTCGGTGCCATCTTTGCATCCTAGTCATACCCCCAAAACGTGCTGACGCCCGGCTTCGACCCAGAGGTGACTATGCAGACCTTCAGCGCGGCCCGCAGCACGGTCTGCCCTCCCTCCCTCCCCGCTCCCCCCAGCCCTCTGAGGCTGGGGCTGGAGGGGGCACTCTCCAGATCCGGGGCAGGAGGGGCGTTACACGTCGTACGGAGACGCCGTCGCATTCCCAGTGGAGAAAAGCCCCCAAAGCCGCGGTTTTTATGTAACTGGGATGATGTAACCGCTGGCTGGCCCAGGGGGCGGGGCGGGGCGGGGCGGGGCGGGGGCACCGGGAGCGCGGGCCCGCGAGACTCTGCGTGCGGCGCCCGCCCAGCCATGCTCCTCTACCGGAGCGCCGCGTGGTTCGCCAAAGGCCTGCGCGAATACACCAAGTAAGGATGTAGAGGGTACCGCGCCGGGGGCCGCGGGCCGGGGCTGCCGGTTGGGGGGCAGGCCGTCCGGCTGTCACGTGGCCCGCCTCGGCGCGCGCGAGCGAGGTTAGCGGGGACGCGCCCGCGACTTCCCCGCGATCTCTTGGACCCACCAAGCGACGGAGGCGCCCCTTAGCTGGCAGCCCGCGGGCAGATGTACCGGCGGCCGGCGCGACCCCCGCACCTGGCTGGCGTCCGGGGGCGGGGCCTTGCAGCGCAGGCCCCACCCACTGACGTCCGGCGGCCCAGGCGCCTGAGAGCCTCTAGGGTGTTCCCTTGGCACCCTGCTGGGCGGGCTCCGATACTGGCTCCGTGGGGCTGTTTTCGGCGTCAGACGGGGTTAGTTCTGAGCTGCTAGTCTAGATTCTGTTTAGTACTTTCCTGGGTGTGTTTTTTTTCCTCACTAATCAACTGCGGCTTGTGGACTGTGACCTCTCCCTCCAGCTGGAACATTCCGGGCGCGGGTTTCAGGTCAGCTCTGCACCCAGTGTGAGCTTGCTGAACGGTGCTGGATGGTTTCACCGGCCCCGTGATCGCCCTCGCTGTGGTTTTAAGGGGTGGCCACTTCTGGCAGATGGAGAGGTGGTTTTTAATCTTAGAATTAGTTAGGCTTACGCAGTGGTTCTCACCCCTGTCTGAAATCAGAAATCACCAGTGGAGAATTTAGGATACCATTTTCCAGGCCCTCCCCCTAGAGATTCTGATTCAGTTGATGTGCACTGGGGCCTCGACAGACATTTTATTTAAAAATCCTACAGGTGTTTCTCCTGTGCTTCCCAGTCATCTCTAGGAGACTTCCTCTCCTTCCTGCACTAGGGTTTTTAACAGTTCCTAAGGCAGCCCGGGCAAATTTCCATCATACCAGGACTCCAGGCATCATTCCAAGGGGAGACAGCTACTGCTGCTCTCTTTTCTGCACCCCACATCCTTTTGGAAAAAGTGCAGACCCTCCTCAGGGGCCAGTGCTGCAGAGAATGTGGGAAGTGTAGCCGTCAACCCTGACCCACTGAATTTAGGTGAATACCGTGGCCGCCTCTTTCAAAGGGGTGTACAGGCAGTGGCCACCATTTGCTGGATCTTTCCATGTTAACACGGAATGCAGCATGAAAAGTTTGAGTCAGCTTCCTGCCCCAGGAGAGCAGGCTTCTAAAAGTCTCTCCCCAGACTCTTCCATGAAGTTGGAGGGGTGCAAACTTAGGTGGGTTTCCCTCTATTATGTATTTAGTGAATTGGAGGGAAAGACAACACCTTACTTTGATTCCAACTTGAGAGTCTGTAGTTTGGGTTTACAGTGTTTTTTCTTGGCACACCAGGACTTTTATAAAGCTTCCTTATGTTGGGCCCCTAGGCAGCAGGATCTAGTTACAGTTTCCTAAACTTGCCCGAACCTAAGAATTACCAGGGGGTAGTTCAGCTACAACAACTGACTCCTAAGCTCCTAGCATGTGTGGGTGGGACCTTAGCAAATTCCATATTGGATAAATTGGGGGAAGCCTGCCGGGGAGCTTGATTCCTGTAATCAGGGAGTTCAGGAAACACGAAGTACAGTGGTTGCTCAGCTTGAATCAAAATCACCTGGAGGGCATGTGAAGCCGCTCACTGATTGCTCGGCCTCACCCTGGAGTGTCTGACTCCGTGGACAGATTGCCGGGTGATGCTGATGCTGCTTGTCTGGGGACCACTCTGAGCATGAGGTAGAAGGTGCCCTAGGCTGGGGTGTTGGGCTTCACTACCTACCATCTCATGACCTTGGGTAAGTCATTTATGTCTCTCTATGTCTGAAAAATAAGGACTGATATCAAGAGTTTATAAAGATGAAAAAAGAGGGTGGGAGGACACAAAACAAACTAAGTTGTCTTATTAACAACAGACTGGATCAGGATGGAATCCCTGTGTTGAAGGCAAAGGACAAAGGGAATTATGACGTGTCCTTTAGCCCAGCCTGGCACCGCCCACTTGGCAACTGGCTCACAGTCTGGAGTTTGAGGAAGAGGTTTAATCCACAGGAGCCGTCCTCAGCAAACCTAAGGCTCTAATAGGATCGATGTGGTAGCCCAGAGGTTAAGGTCTACTCTAACTGTGTGTCACAGAGAAAAGCCTCTCAGCTTCCTGCCCCAGGAGGAGGGGGCTCTTGGGGCCGGGTCCCTGTGGGGCATTTACTTGGGGCATGTTCTCTGGCCCTATGGTGGTTTGGAAAGTTCTTCCTTGCTCCCCACCAGTGCCTTGTCCTGCCTGGGCCCCTATTCACTGACTTCCTGGCCCTTGATTCTTTCTGAGAAACCTCTTTCCTCTGCAAGAAAATCTTTTCACAGTGATCCTGGGACCCCGGCCTGTGGGAAAAAACAAATCTTCCAGCTTCATCTTTGGTTATAGTTTAAATTACTCTCAAAGTCCCTAATGATTTGAAGGGCTAGGGGGTGGGGTGGGGGGCAATGAGCTTAGTTTTGAATGTGAAAGGTATTCATGTCGTTATTTATACTAGTAATAATGATAGCAACTATAATTTATTGCGTTCTTAATTTATTCCAAGTGTGTGATAAATGCCTCACATACATTATCTCACCCAGGCTGCCCAAGAAGTAGCTTTTATTATCCCCTTTGTGCAGATGAGGAGACGGGAGCTCAGAAAGGTTAAGCCAACACATGAGACGGCACAACCGTTAAGAGGCAGAGCTGTGATTTAAATCCAAGTTGTTTGATCTAAAGCCCTTATGATTGATATTATTTTTAGTTTCAAGTCAGCCTTTCAGGAGGCCTTGGAACAGTCAGAAGTCTTGCTTGCCCCACTAAGTGGCCCACTAATAGCAGAAGCAATGGGAAGGGCATTCTCTGAGCCGCCCTGGATGTTTGGGCGAGTTACAGATGGTGAGAACAGGAACATTCTCCTTGGTCTCTTGACTGTGAGACCAGGGGCAATGACTGCCCCTGTGGCAAAACCAGACCCAAGCTCATAAACATTCTGTGGCCCTCTTCACCAGCGTTCAGGCATGTAATTGGCAGTTGTGCTGTGCCAGGGCATGGGGCAGGAGACCAGCTGTTGGCAGTCTGTGTGTAAACAGGGCGCGGGGAGGCCACTGGGCCTCTTCCAGAACCTTTGGGGGAAAGAGTTGCTTTCTGTGTTGCAGGGAATCAGCTCTTTGGGTGAGAGACACAAGCTGAGACCCCAGCCTGCTGGTGTGTGGGGAGAGCTCCGCCCTGTGGGTCTCCTCCTGCCAATCCCCCTCCACTCTGCCTCCACCCACTCAGCCAATTTTGTAATTGGGAAATACTAGGACAGTAAAGCCAGAAGAGGAAGCTCAAAAAGCAGAGAGAAACAGTTAAGGAACTCAGGGTGGTTTCTATCCAATATGATGCCTTTGTGCAAATTAGAAGAAACACCTCCCTCTCTATGTGCTTTGCTATCATCCGGCAGAAAGTTGTCCTGATGCAGATACAGTCTCTCATCACTATGATCGGAACGGCGCCCCCTAGAGTTGTGCAGCACACACCCTGTGGCCCTGAAGGAGGCTTGCTTCCTCTGAAGGCGTGCAGCCCTCATATAACTTCATCTGCCCCCTCCTTCATTCCCTACATGCAAATCTACCCACTTTGCTGTGGTCCTTCTATACCTGGGTAGAGACACCTGTCCTGCGGTGCAGTAGGCATGATGTTCCTGGTCTGCTAAGCTCCTTTCTGTTCCCCCCACTGTGGGAAAAAGGCCCCCCCCAAAAGATCTATCTATCAAAGTGTTTTTTGGGGTGGGGGGCACCTCCTGGTATCAGAGGCAGTCAGAGAAAGGTAGTTTGGCCACCAAATTGTTGGACTCTCCAAGCATTTTCAGTTCAGGAAGCTAACGGTATAAGAAATGTAGTCCTGGAGGAGATGGTGGTGTTCATGAGACCAGGGAGGATAGCAGGGGGAGCCCAGGAAGAAAGGGGCTGCGTGATGTGCCGGAGAGAGCACAATGCCCAGCACAGAATTAGGCTTCCTGCCTGCAGGAGATTGTGTTCCCAGCTACTTACGGCCATTCCTTCTGTGGCTCTGCTGCTTCCAGGAGTGGCTATGAATCTGCATCCAAGGACTTCATCCCTGATGACTTGGAGGTCCAAGTCCCTGGAAGAGCCTTCATGGTCACCGGGGGGAACAGCGGCATTGGAAAAGCAACTGCCTTCGAGATCGCCAAGCGAGGTGAGCAGCCTGCTAACTTGTGTGTGCACTGGGCCCCGAGGCCAGCCTATGGCCGGTCCACACCGGGGAGAGTGCCCTGTGTCACAGGAGGGTCAGGAAGGCCCCAGCCAGCACAGCCAGGAGCCCTGAACAGTGACCCTGTGCTGATCGGCACAGCTGCCAGCATTCTGGGCTGTGCGGTAAGCTTCAAGCTAGAATCGGACAGAGCAAGTGACTGGAGGAGGCTTTTCTCAACACAGTTAATTCACAGGAGAGCTGGGGTCCTGTCCACATGTCATTGTTTTCTGATTAAGAACCATGAGGGGCTCCGGCCAACCCTAGGCGTCTGAATCACCAGTGGAACCTTAAAACAAAAAACACCTGGATACTTGGTTTCCAGTTCCTGTCTTCTCAACAAGAACGCGGTCAGGGGTGGGAAGGATACTGGGAGTCCCTCACAATTTGCCTGTGGACCCTAGTTAAGAACCAGAGCCCCCAGAATCACGGGAGAGGAGCGTGCAGTGAACTTTCTTCTTCCTTCCTGGTGTCCAGCCTCCAGGTTTTGAGCAGCTGGAGACAGTCTCCCCTTTCTCCTCCCTAAGCTTGATTTGGGGGAGCGCCTCTTGGGTGCCCGTAAATTATTCAGGCAGCTGAAGTCTTCCTCCTGGTAAATGCCAGAATTTCCTGCATGAGCTCAACTGCCCTGGGTCAATTAATGGCACTGTGGTGGCTAGAAAAGCCTGCCGTGTCTCTCCAGACCCCCTTCTCCAGGAAAAATGGATGTTCCGGCAGAAGTTGGGGAAATAAGTTGGGAATTTATCACTTTTCAAGATGCTCGAGATTTTTTTTTTCTCTAAAATTGTTAGGCATTTTTCAGGGGAGTATTATACCATTTGGAGTTGTATTTAATGATCTGCCAAGTCAGGGGGAAGATTAACTGCATCTTAGCAACTGGGAGGTACTCTGAAGAGCTGTGGGGAAGAGGATGAAGCAGACGGGCTGGTTATGTGATGAGCGTGTAGCCTTCCGTGAACCAGACCCCATTTTAAAAAGCAGCTATTTCAGGTGAAGAAAGCAGGTTCCATAATGCTTACTTCTTAACTGCCGCAGACAATGCAAGTCCCCTTTAAATAAGCCTTGATTGATGACGGTATGGCTTTTGCTGGAATAGTCTGAGTGCCATTTATGGATTCAGACATTCAGTAAATATTTATCGAGTTCCTACTGCATATTAGGCTGAACATTAGACTCCCTGGGGAGCTTTTAAAACATTCGCAGGCCTGGGCCCGTCATCTAGAGCTTTAAAAACTTCCCAGGTGGGTCCAGAGTACAGCTAGGTTGAGACCTGTGTGTCAGGTACTCTGTGAGATGTTAGGGATGCAGGTATGACAAAAACCGACCCTTCTTATCCTTGATATATTCAGACCCTTAAGTCAGGACGTTGTCCCAGGTGCACCGTCAGTCAGCTCAGGTAGGCAGGAGGACGGGTTCCAAGATCACCCTCTCTCTTACATCTGCTGCTCTGACTATGGGGACCATCTGTCTAGATTTTCCAGAACAGTCTCTATTTCAGGTACTCTTTCTGTGAGCCCGTATGTCTTAGTCCTTCATTTGGAAAAGCTGGTCTCCATAGCTGTCACTGTCGCTGTCCCTCACAGACGGTTTTGTTGAATTCCACCAGGTGGCACAGTTCACCTGGTTTGTCGAGATCAAAATCGAGCGGAAGGTGCCAGAGGTGAGATCATCAGGGAGAGCGGGAACCAGGTGAGCTGCTCTGTGCCCCACCTGCTGGGGGGTTCCTGCCTGCAGGGTCCGCAGTGCAGGGGGCTGGACTCCTGGCCACGCGCCCGAGTTGGCAGTGGCCTGTTTGTGCTTCCGCTTGGGAGGCAGCCTCAGCCAACAGAGCTAGAGCTGCGCTTTTCTTTTCTTTTTTTTTTTTCAATGTGTTTCAGGACAGAGGTCCTATTTTATTTTATTCTATTCTATTCTATTCTATTTATTTTTGCTGTACAGCAAAGTGAATCAGTTATACATATACGCATATCCACTCTTTAAAAAAAAATATATATATATACTTATTTATTTAGCTGTGCTGAGTCTTCGTTGCGGCACACAGGATCTTTGTTGCCCCGTGCGGGACCTTTAGTTGCAGCATGTGGACTCTTAGTTGCGGCATACGGGATCTAGTTCCCTGACCAGGGATCAAACCCTGGCCCCCTGCATTGGGAGCACGGAGTCTTAAGCGCTGGGCCACCAGGGAAGTCCCCATATATCTCCTCTTTTTTAGATTTCCTTCCCATTTCGGTCACCACAGAGCATTGAGTAGAGTTTCCTGTTTTATACAGTAGGTTCTCATGAGTTATCTGTTTTATATATAGTATCAGTAGTGTGTCTATGTCAATCCCAGTCTTCCAATTTCTCCCGCTCCCCCCTCGCTCCTCTGAGCTGCGCTTTTCAAAGTCTGGGCTGGACTCGGGATAAGGGGGGCAGTGAGGTTTGATCCCACGCCCCATGAAGGCATCAGTGCCTGCTGGGGAGACATGATACGGACGTGGCACTGCTGGGGTCCCCCCCCACAGAGGGAGGCCACGTCAGTGAGACACATCAGAGGTGACTCGGGGTGAGTGGTCTTCGGATAAAGAGAGACAACAAATGACATTTTGGCCTTGATGAGAGCCACTTCCTCTCGAGAGCTTTCAGAGTGGGCTTCCTCTTCTGAGAGAGTCGGAACCAGGACTGGCTACATAATCTGTAGGGCCCAGTGCAAAACGAAGGTGTGGGCCCCTGGTGTTAAAAGCCTAAGAATTGGAGGACGGCGAAGGCATGGCATTAGCACAAGCGGGGCCTGTACTCCAATAAAAAGTAATTAAAAAAAAAGTTCCGGGCTTCCCTGGTGGCGCAGTGGTTGAGAGTCCACCTGCCGATGCAGGGGACACGGG